GAATGGTTTGGGATGGGGAAGGTGGCAGTGGGTCCTCTGCAAGGCTCAGATGGAGGTTCTGGGGCACAGTGAAGCACTGTGTCCAACCCAGCCCATCAGACTCACGTGTCCATTGGGTGACATTGGTGGAAGAGGCTTCGAACGAGCCTTTTACAGCAGTGACCTGCACAGCAAACTTGCTGCCTGCCTCCAAGTGAGTCCAGGTGATGTTCTGGGCATCCGGACTCAAGATCTGGATCTGATCCCCGCTCTGGGTGCTGAGGCTATACAGAATAACACGGTAGTTGTCCCTCCTGCCGGGGGGCTTGTTCCAGAACATGTGAAGATCTGAGGAGCTGCCTGGGTTGGTAAGGCTCAGGTTTGTTGGTGCAGCAGGAACTGTGAGGGGAGACACATGAGTCAGAGAGAAAAAGATCCAGTTTTGAACATTCAGCCATCTCTGGGGAGAAGTCTTGCTTTCCCCAGGCAGCCAGCAACAACCAGTCAGCAAGTGCTTTGGGCCCATGTGGTACAAGAAGGCTGCAGGATGCAGGAGATGACTGCAAGCCAGCATCACCGGGAACCAGGCCAGGGTGCCCTCCTCTCCTCTCACTGGGTGCCAACATTGATCCTCTTTCCATTCTGGAGCTCCTCACAGTGCTCCTACCCAAATCGCCCGTGGGTGGTACAGATGCTTACCTGTGCAGCCAGTGACATTCTTGGGGAGAGAGCGGTAGGGTCCGGCTACTGCCCAGATCCTAACAAGGTAGCACGTTCCTGGTTCTAGCTGTGCCAGGGTGACATTGGTGCTGTCCTTCCCTGCTTCCAGGTTCCTTGCTGGTGCAGAAGAGCCCTCCTCATGCATGCTGAGCAGGTATCCATCCCTCTGCCCAGGAGGGGTCTCCCAGTGCACAGCCAGAGCCCAGGCAGTGCTGACAGGGCTTGCCGACAGGGCAAGAGGAGGTAGTGGGACTGTGGGAGAGAAACAGCGTTACAGGGGACAAAGCTGGGATCCTCAGGACTGACTCTAGCTTGGGAATGAAGCTGAGACCTGAAGCATTGTGAGCAACTAACATGCTGTCTAAAGACTGCTGAGAGCAGCGGGTTGCCCCCAGATCAAAGCTGCTCCCTGTGTCCCAGGTGATAACAGTGCATCACCACCATGGCCTGAGACTCCCTTTTCCCAAAGTGCTGGGGCAGGCTCAGAGCATGCCCCACTGAGCTCAGGATGAGTGAGGGTCCCAACAAGAGAGCCAGCATCTTGAGTAGGAGACAAGCACCAGTGAGGTTGTGGGGACATGGTCTCAGAGTTCTCCTGCAGACCCCTCTCTTGGTCCCCAGCCCCTTGTCAGGTCACAGCCAGGCTGGGTACCAGGGATACGTGCAGAGGAGCTGCGTTCCTACCAGTGTAGCCGATGGCAGTCTGAGAGGAGATGCGATGAGGCCCAGCCTGAGAAATGATCTCCACACGGTAGCGGGACCCTGGCACCAGCCCCTCTAGGTCAAGCTGGGTGACTCCACGGGGGACGGACACGTTCCTGATGATGGACAGGGATTCAGCCACCGAGAGCTGTACCAAATGGTCTCTGCCACCACCTGACTCCACCCAGCTCACATGTAGCTCCTGGGGTCTCCGGCCAGGCTGTACACTCACGTTAGCCAGAGACAGTGGATCTAGGGGGAAACACAGGACAGAGATCCATGAGATGGTAGAGAAAAGCAACTGGAGAAGCCAGGACACAGCCTGCACCTCTGCACAAGGCTAAAGGAAAAGTGGTGGCAGCTGACTACCAGCTCTCCTTTTGCCCTGGGGGACATGCAAGTTGCCCGTGCATGTCCCCAAGGTGCTGCTAGCAGGCGGGTGCTGTACTGAGAAGAGAGCGCTCAGCTCCCCAGTGGGCTGTTCTGCTCCATGGACAGGGAGCAGCAAGCCCTTACGGTGCTTCCTCTCTTGCACCCTGCTCCCACCAGTCCCAGGTTGCCCTTGAGATCATGAGTGGTCTGGGCAGAAGGTTCAGCTTGACTGTGGAAAGCCTGAGCTGAGGAAAAGGGTCTTTTGAGGCCCAGAAGCCAGTACACGGCACCTAACTCATGCCACGTGCTCCAATTCCCAGGACAGGGAGCATGCAGGTCCCACTGGAGCCCTCCCTCTGCCCAGACATGTCCATGTCATTGCCAGTCTTGCAGGCAGTGTCAGAATGCCCCATTCCTGCAGGAGGCTGGGGACACTTCTCACTTACATGTCCACTCAGTGGCAAAGTGTGATGAGGATCTGTATGGGCCAGCAAGGACGGTCACCTTCAGGAAGTACTGAATACCAGGGGACAGCCCCAGGAATGTGAAGTTGTGGGTGTTTGGCCCCACTGAGATGTTCCTCTGCACTGGATGGCTCTTGCTGTAGAGCTGGAGATGGAACTGGTCTACATCACCAGCAGCCTTGTCCCAGAAGGCAGAGAGTCCCAGTGGGCGTCGAGTGTTCGTCAGGGTCACGCCAGCTGGAGCCAAAGGGTCTGAAAGAGAAGAGACACCCAGGCAGTGAGGGGCAGTCATCATGGAGCTGCCGCGGTGTGGAGTGGGGGCTGCACACACTTGTCCTGGGCACCCTGCATCCCCTGTCCCTGGTGCATTCAGGTCAGAAATAAGCCCTGGCATATCAAACTCCAGAACAGCCTGAACTTCTGCTCCACAACAAACATGGGAGCAGGTCCCCACCTTTCCTGCTGGGAGACATTTGGAAACGTTTTCTGTTCAGTGGTGGGTTTCTCCTGCATTGAAGACCCTTTTACTTCCAACCTGGCCGAATGTGGCTCTGGTTGTCTTTCCACTCTCTGTCTGTCTATGCATCCCTGCCCCTGGTTCCCCCACCTCCCCATACATGGTCCACACTCAGCCTTGCTTCAACGCTGTGAGCTTTCTACTCTCGCTGGCAGGCCAGGGTTGCAATTTGCAGTAGGCTTGAGGTAGGGGTCTCACACTCACATGTCCAGTCTGTGGCTGATCGCACAGGGGATCTGTAAGGTCCAGCCATAGCAGCCATCTCCAGTGTATACTGTCGTCCAGGGACCAGGTCCTCAAAGGTGACATTTGTCCAGTTGTTCCCCACAGTCATGTTCCTGACCCACTCCTGGGACTTGGTTTCCCAGAGGGTGCCTGTGTAGCCAGTGCTGCCAGTGGGAGCTGCTCTCCAGGAGGCTTGCAGAGAGGTGCTGTGGCCCTGATTGCTGAGAGTCAGCTGCTCCAGGGGCAAAGGATCTAGGAAAGGAAAGGTCTAGAGTCACAACTGCACCCAGACTGGGGTCACCTGGCAGAAGTGCAACCCCAAATGTGCTGGGGCTGGAGCCCCTTCTCTGGGAAAACCCACATCCCAGTGCTCTGACCACCTGTGGGATCTGAGCAAGCTACCGTCACCCCTGCTGACACCCACACACCAGTTTGGTAGAGACTGGGCCAGCACAGAGTTCAAACTGGCATGGTAAGAGAGGACTGCTCTGGTGCTGGAGGAGGCGGTGGGTGGGATGATCTGGACCAGGGCGGTGGAGCGGTGGTTCAAGGAGATGCAGCCTAGGCAGTGCCACAGGAGGGTAGCCCAAGGGAGGAGGGCACTGGGCTCTGCTGGCCCTTGTGCCAGGCAATTGGGATACAGACCAGGGTCAGACACACCCAGCAGCACCTCTCCGTTCCTCCTGAGCCTTTTGCCCTTTTATTGCATGAAGCTGCAGAAGACCTGTGCTATCACGACATCGCGGGGAAGGGCAAGGTCCAGTGGGAACCCCAAGGCTGGCTGCGGTGAGGGCTGTGGCACTCACATGTCCAGTTGGTGATGCGCTGGGGTGAGGATGTGTAGGGGCCAGCCACGGTGCTGACCTCAAAGGTGTAGAGAGTCCCAGGGCGGAGGCCCTCGTAGGTGAAATTGGTGACACCTCTGAGCAGTGAGCTGTTCTTCACGGGGTGCTCCATGGGGCTGAGGGCCAGCACATAGCCCTCTCCCATTGCCTCCTCCCAGCTGGCTAGTAGGCTGTAGGGGCTCCCCTGGCTGGACAGGCTCACACCAGATGGTGCTAGCGGCTCTGCAAGGGACAAGGACAGGACCGTGCACATCACTGCGTGGGGCAGTGCAGCGAGCAGCCAGATACGACACTCTGCAGCGGCGCCCCCGCCAAGCACGGGCAGCCAGAGCTGCAGGGAGAGCCTTTCGCTGCTCTCCAGGGGCTGGGTGAGTGCCTCCCCACACTGTTTAAGGCTCCAGTCCTTCCTTCCAGGGGTGGCAGCTCTGGGACAGCACCAACCGTGGCTCCATGAGTCACCCAGGAGGGACTGGGCATGGGGAGATGCTGCTCTGGGAGGACTGGTGGTGCTTCACCACCACCAAACCAGCTGCTATTTGCAGAGGGAGGGGAAGCTGTCTTAAAGCCTGCTGAGCACCGAATCCAAAAGTTACTGAGTAGGAGCTTGTCTCGATTCATGCCTGATACTGTGTGTCACAAGTCTGCCAAGGACCTCCAAGTCCACCCTCACGAGGAACTGTGGGGCAGCAGATTTTGCTGCTCTGACCCACAGCCTGCTCTTGAGACCAGGTGCCACTGCACAGCCCCATCTCTGGTCCTGCACCAATCCCCCTCCCCAACCCACCAGTGTCCCTCCAGGCATCAGCCCCTCCATCAGGTTGCAGAAATGACCTCGAAAGGACATGCTCAGGCTTTCTGCTTACGTGTCCAGGCTGCTGTGCTGTGGGCTGATGCCCGGTAGGGCCCAGCCACCGCTGTCACCTGGACAGAGTATTGCTTCCCAGGGCTCAGCCCGTGGAAGGTGACATGACTGTTGTCTCCACCGACGGAGATGTTCCTCATCGGAGCACCCTCCTCTCCCTCCTGCAGTGTCACCAGGTAGAAGTCCCTCTCTCCTGCTGGGGTGCTCCAGCGAGCCTGCAAGGAGCTCTGCTCTTCTGCACTGCTCAGGGTCACATTGCCAGGGCTCAGGGGGTCTGGAAGGGAAGGGAACAGGATTGTGTGTGTCAGGATTATGGGGTGCTCTGGACCCCATACGTCCCTGAGCCTCATTCTCTGCTTCCTTATCTGCAGGGTTAAATCCAGTCTTAGACATCCTTTGGAGCGTGCTGTCTCCACTCCCTAGCACAACTCCTGGTCTAGCACTGTCCAGAAAAAGCTGGCAGCCTTGCTGGGAAATTCCTAAAAGTTTCCCTCCTCTGCATTCATGTCCCATCACGAGCTTGCTGATATTCCCAGGAATTGGCCTGGACCAAACTCCTGGCTGGACGATCCTGGCTTGTGTGTCTGGCACCAGGGACTTTTGTTCAGTTGGGTAGGTCAGAGCCGCAGATGGCAACAGCAGGGATCAAGTCAGGCTCACTTCGTAGCAGAAACAAAGCAGCTGGGGGTGTGGAGGTCTTCCAAAATCCCAGCTGCAGAGTCAGCAGTGAGCAGGCTCCAGCTTCCTGGACTGGCAGGCGGAGCAGGAAAGAGCTGGAGACTTGTCACCTGATGGTACCCAGGTCCTTCCAGCGTACTTCTGACCAGCGTCTCTGCCCAGGACCAGGATGAATCACTGGCCACAACTGCTCTGAGTTTGCAGCTTGGCACCTCCATAATTCACTGCTCCTCACTAGGGAGGGCCAACGCTTTCTTGGCGTTCGGCATGAGTCTTCCTCTGTCCAGGAGGCTAGGCTTGCCCTCTCCATTTCCCCCCCAGTTTTCCTGAGAACATCTGGGAGAGCAAGTCCAGGGACAGAAACCTTTGCAGTGCTATGGACACAGTGTCGACAGCAAACCAGGACTGTGGTGGTAGAAGTCACCTTCTCTCAGGGCCCTTGTCAGCCTGAGGCCAGAAGGTGGAGGAAGATGGGTTGAATGGTGCAACTAGCTGGGGTGTGGGAGGGCTCCCCTCAATTTCTTGACCTGCTAGAGGCTGGTCTCTGTGCTTGCACAGTACCTGGCACATTAAGGACATCCACCAGGATGAGGTTATCAGCTGCTACCAAAATACACTCTTGGCAGCAATCAAAGGACAAAAGATTCATTTCCCTCCAGAAACCTCCAGTTCAAACCAGCTAAGCTGCTCTTCCCTTGCCCCCTGTTTTCTCTGCTGCCCTTGGACAGCCATGAGGCATGTGAAAGCCCAGCCTCAGCTGCACTGAACACCAGTGGGATCTGCTGCCCTTCCATCCTCCTCCTCAGGGAGAGGCCACAGGCTGATCCCGATGCATGCCAGGCAGAAGCAGGCCAGCACTGGGAATCCACCTGCCCAGGGGACTCACTGATCCGACTATCGCAGTGCCCTAGAGCTGGATCCTGGAGTGGCTTTCAGCCAGGTCCAAGCAGAAGAATTGCGCTCTGCACCTGGAGCTCTGGCAGGAGACCTTTGGATTCAGAGGCTGGACCAGAGGCAGGTAGAAAGCCAAGGCCACCGAGGCCCTCCCTCATCCCTGGCTGTCATACTCACATGTCCAAGCGGTGGCATTGGGCCCCCCCATGGTGTAGGACCCGGCTGTGGTGCTCAGTGCCAGCCAGTACTGGGAGTCCCAGCCAGTACTGGGTGCCGGGGTGGAGATGCTGGAAGGTGTAGCTGGTGAGGCCCCTCCTGGCTGACAGGGTCGTGGTCACCGTCTGGGTGAGGAGGTTGTGGAGAGTGAGGTGCAGCCAGGCAGCCCCCGCAGCACCCGACCAGGAGGCGACAAGGCTGGTGCTGGAGCCCGGGATGAGCCTCAGCTGGGTGGGGATGGAGGGAGCTGAGGGGAAAAGCAGGAGGCAGCGAGGTTCAGCACTGGGGCTGGGGCTCCTTGGACCCTCCTCTCTCCCCAGGGTCTCCTACACCCACAGCTGCTCTCTATGCTGACAAGGGGGCTGAAGGTCTGGCAGGGGTCTGCCGAGGGAAGTCTCTTCCATGTCCCTTCCCAGGCAGGCTGAGGGGCTCTTGAGGTCCCTCCATACTCTCACCCTCTTTCAGGCTGCAGGGCAGAGGGGGTGGCAGCCTGGGTAGTGCAACATTTCTTCTGCTCCCACCAGCCAAGATCTTTTGCCAGGATCCTCAGATTTCCCTTCTCCCATGGGGACATGGAGCACACAAACCCAAGGTGCAGTTCCTGCAAGGCAGGACTGAGGTGCGAGGTTTTTCCCCTTGGCCCAGCACACTGAGCTCACAGTGAGGATGTGAAAAACTCACAACTGCTCCCCATCCTGCACAAACTCCCCATCCTGAGACTGGAGACCTCCTCCCCGTCTCTGCCACCCCAGCCAACACGTCTGCTGCACCCCTCCTGCTAAAACCTTTCTCCCACCCCTTCCCTCTTGGGCAGGCACACCCATCACTCCCTACCTGTCCACTGGTGGATACTGGTGCTTGCCTGGCTGGATCCAGCCAGCGTGCTGACCTTCAAGGCGTATTCGCTGCCAGCCAGCAACCCGTCAAACAGGAACGTGGAGGTGTTTGGCAGGATGGATGCATTTCTCACGAGCGTCTGGGAGTCGCTGTGGTAGAGGGCAAGGTGGTAGCCATCCCGCTGCCCGTGGGCGTGCGCCCAGGAGGCGCGCAGCACGGTAGAGCTCCCACCGCTGCTCAGGCTCAGATTGCGGACAGGTGAAGGACCTGCATTGGGCATGGTACAGACAGTGCTGGCTGGCGATGCTTGACCTGCCAGGTTGCTCAAGGGCTGGTGGGACAGTGCCTTCACCTGATGAGGTCCTGTCAGCCAGCTCCACAGGACCCAATCCCCCAAGCACAGCCCCATCACCTCCCTGCCGGCTCTCTCACATGGGTTGTGTGGGCTGCACCATCCTCTTTGGATCAGTTTCTGCACAGTCACTCTGAACTGGGCAGCGGGGCTGTCAGGGACAACACACCAAGTGCGCGCTGAGAAAGGTGAAGCCATCAGCGCTTACCTGTGAGCTCACCTGCTGCTAGGTCCTCCGTTCCCGCTGGCCCTGTGGATCCTGCCACCTGCCTGAGCACCAGCCCCTGCTCCCTGCAGCCATCTCTGTTGTCTGACACCATCCCTTCTGCTGGCCAACCCCCTTGCTCCAGCTCTACTCTCCTTTTCTGGGTTTTCCACTTTGACCTGCACTGATTTACTCAAGGATCTCCTGGAGAGATGCAGGCAAGGGCTGCCATCCTCACCTGAGCTGTGGACTCGCCAGCCCTGCCCCCTTCCCCAAGTCCTTGCCTCAGTCAGGGAGGACACAGAGTAAGGCTTGGTGAGTGAGCCAGTGATTGACAAAGATCTACCAAAATCATGGAGCAGATGCTACTTCCTTGTAGCTCTTTCTAGACCTCCAGGCATGACATTTTCCACCCCTCAGCTCTCTGCAGTCCACGTCATAGGTTGGTTCATATTTAGCTATATTATTCCAGGAGAAGATACAGCATGAACCTCATCCATGCAAGGTGCAGGGACAGGACCCTCCTTCCACATGGATGAGGGAATGACCCCTGGGGCTCTGGGGACCAGGGAAGGACCCTAATCCTTGTGGAAGTAAGGAAAGGCCTGACCACCCCATGAACTCATGGGACTCCACACAGACCTGTACTTCGCACCCTCCAAAGCAGTGTAACAATCATTGGTAGGAGTACTGAGACCCTTTGAATCTACCGTCCCTGGGGAATGCCTTACTTGTCTGTGCTGTGACTGTCTGGCTGGTGGTCTCCATGCAGGCAAGTGTGGCTGTCACCTCAATCTTGTAGCGCATGCCAGGGGTCAGCCCATGGAACCAGAAGCTGGTGATGTTGGGTCCAGCAGATCCATTCTGCAGCGGTGTGCCAGACCCCAGGGAGGAGAGGGTGAGCGAGTATCCCTTGGCACTGCGCTCTGGCTCATCCCAGGACAGAAGGAGGGAGTCTGACCGGCCATGGTCACTGACACTGAGGTTCAGGAGGGTCCCTGCAGAGGCAAAGCCGAAACCCTCAACAGGGAGCTGTGGTGTAGCTGGCTGGTCAGCCTGCAGGGCCACACTCCCCAACCCACTCACCCTCACTGCACACCTTGGCACAGGCCACCACTGTGGGCACTGCTCTGCTTCGGTCAGGCCCCCCAACCCCAAGGGCTCCAAACAGCCTTTGGAAAACACGAGAAGGTTCAGAAGCTCCCATGGCCTGGGGTCAAAGGCACCGTGTGAAAGTGTGCTCCATGCTTAGCAGCACCAACTCTGTTGGAGAAAGACTAGAAGGCTTCAGGCCATCACATTTTGTCCAGACAGCTGTGGTTTATGGCAGAAAAGTTGACCTGGCTAGGTATAATCCATTGCTCACCACCTTGGTTGGTTTGAGCCCCGAAAAGATGTTGAAGGGCTCTACGTCCACCTTCCAGAAGCAAGACAATGGCCATTGAAGGAGCAGGATGGATATGGCCGTGGGGCCGTTATGCTCCCTGCAAAAGTCTCTGTCTCTGGGCTCTGACAGAGGAGCATATAAAGGTTGGTTTGGAGGGATCCAGGCACTGAGTTGCCCCTGTCCTGCCCAGTGCAGAGATGACATGGGAAGAGCAGGACACTGCGTACGTGGAGGAAATGTGGGGCCAGATTTGCACAACCTGAGGCTGAGGTATGTCCCTGCCTTGGCCTTGCTGCAGCAGCAAGGTCAGCACGCTGCGGCTGCAGGGCTGGTGCTGTGGCATCCAGATGGAGAGTGTCTGGGGACAAGGAAGTGGCATATGAGGCTTGGCTTAATTGGGGGGTCAGTGGCCAAAACTGCTGTTGAATCGCTGCCCTTAGAGTTGCTCAGGAACCACCTACACAAACAGGAGCCAGACAGAGCCTGTCTGTTGGGACCAAGCTGGCAACCTGGTCCTGGCAGGCTCCATCTCTGCCTCCCGTAGCAGATTGTCATGCACTCCCCAGCCTTGCTGTGAACGATGAGCTCTCTATTGCTCTCAGCCTTTGGAGAACACCAGAACAGCTCTAGTGCTAATAAGACATTTGTCTAATAATTAGCACCTAAAATTTATGATGTACAACATGTTGTAACAGGCTTACATTTCATCTGGCATGGCAAGAAAGCTTTGAACAAGCACAGCCATTGCCCCAGAGGTCTGCCTGGGGGCTGCCTTCACGCAGCAAAAGAGGAGCAGTGTGGGGTGAGCCCCAGGGGCAGGGGCACCTTTGGGACTGCTCAGGTGTTGTGTGCGGCCTTCCCACAAAGCTGGGCAGTTTCAGAACTACATGCAAGTTCTGCTTCGTGCAATGTTGCTGTTTGGAGCCTGCTGCCATGCTGAGAGCTTCACTCAGCAGATGAGTGCAAAGGGAATTGGGGAAGTGAGATGGACAAAAAAGAGAAGCACGTGGTCTCCCTGAGCAAGGTCTTCTCAGTGCCATCCCTGAGCAGTTCAAGTGCAGATTTAGGAACAGACTGCTCAAGAAGGGTTATCTGAATGTAGGTGGGTGTCCATGGGTCAGGTGTCTACACCTGGGTCAGCTGCCCTGGGCTCCCCTTGCTGTCAGCAGAGATCCAGTCGCAGCAGCTCATGGAGCACAGGGCATGGCTAGTCTCCTGAAGACAGCTAGAGGGATTGTGCCCTGCATGGCATTCAAACAGGGATGTTTTTCACTGCGGGATCTTTCTTATCTCATGAAGGTATGAGTTGTCCACTCATGTTTGTCTGCTTCTTTTGGGTTTCCAACAGACTGCATCGCCTGCCTCTACCTGTCACTTGGCAATTGGCTTCTTCACCTCTGCAGTACAAATGTACTAATATCTAAAACAGGCCAGAGGCATCCTCCAGCCCTGAGGCCCATGATCACAATGCTACTCACGCCCCCATAGATAAGCTCCGCTAACCACATCACACACAGCCACATCCAGGTACACCCCGTACCCTGACTTGTGCCTGCAGATCATCTCAGAGAGTTTCCACCAGCACGGGCCAGCGCCATGCGAGCACCACACTGGTTCCAAGCAGACAGCAGTGCTTGCTGGCTGCAGGTGAGTGCGGCTGTGCCGCTCCCCAGCCAGCTCGGCACAGCTGTGGGGCTGCCCCATGGAGTACAGTCTTGCCCAGCCAACTGCAGGGGCTCCGTGCAGGGCACTGCTGCTGAGCCCACTTGATGCTCCATGGGAAGGAGAGAGCTTGGAGCCCTATCCGTCTCTCACACTGCGCCCCATAAGGCTGGTTGCTGGAGGAAGATGAGGCTGACTCCCTCCACTTCCCTGGCCATGATCTGCAGCCTGCTGTAAGTCTAAAGCAGAGTATTTACAAAGCTACTCTTAACTCCAAGAGTCCTGGCCCAGCACATCTGTTCATCTCACTGCTCCCGGACACCAAGACCACCCTCTGCAGCCTGGGAACCTCTTTGCTTTGACTTACCTCTATCGCTGAGTGCATCCTGGCCCTCCAACCCTGCCCGTGCTGTCCGGTTGCATCCCTCGTCCTGGGGAATTAAAGGTGTCAAGTGAGAGGGGGTCAAGGTGAGCTGAGACCCATGCCTGGGAGAGGTGCCCCGTGCCATGTCAAGGGCCAGGTTGGCCAGGCACAGGTCCCACCCCACCATGGCATCTAGGGGCTGCAACCCTCTGGGGACTGTGACTGCTTTTGCCAGGAGAGCTCAGGTCACTGCTCACATCGCCCTCCTCTAGCCAAGGCAGGGAGACAGCCTCAGCAGATGTAGCTTGTGGGCTGCCCTGCCCTTTTGCATGGGTCTTGGGACTGCAGACCAACATGGGGCCATGCCCACAGGGGAAGACAGCCCACTAAAACAGCCAAGGCACAAGGGGAACATTTGGGGAGGGAGCTCTGGACAGGCCTTGGCAACCTCATTCCCTCTACAGGCACCCCGCCTTCTCATGATCATGGGTGGGGATGATGGAGGGACCCCAGACCTCAGTCCAACTGCCATCCCCCACAGGCTGCAAAGCGAGGGCTTGGCCTGAGAGCTCCAGAACATCCAGCACCCTCCACACCGCAGCAGGTGCTGAGCACGCTCGCGGGACACCCATCTCCCCACAGTCTGCTTGTGAGCAGGGTGTGCCTTGCTTTAGGTTGAGGCTAGTTCCCTCCACATTAAAGGAAATATCTCTGCCCACTCCCTGTCCCGCAACAAGCCACAGAGGAGCAATCATCTTTCTTGAGTTATTTCCCCCTCGGCTCTGCTGGCTGACTCATTTCTGGCTCCCCTACTGACTGCCGTGCTTTTGGGAGTGTGTGCACGGAGGGGAGCGAAGGGGCTCCGGGCCCCTGGGAATAGCAGCCAGGCAATTCCTGAGGCAAGGAGCCATGCAGCCACGGCAGCAGGAACACACTCCGATCACAGGCACTGAGGCGAGAGGGCACGGTGGAGGCGGGGAAGCGGAGGAAAGAGCCAGCTCGTAATTGCAAACGTCGCTAATTTGGTGCAGCTGCATGGCTGGAGAGACAGCCCAGAAATATGTCGTCATTCCTCAGCGGGGTAGGACTATGCAAAGCCCCTTGCCACCAGTGAACTTGGATCCAAGAGCCCGCATGGACAAACGGGGGGTTGAAGAGACAAGGGCTTACCTCTGCCAGGGTTCCCAGGAGCTGTGGCACCCACAGGACGAGCAGCGGCAGCAGTGGTGGTCTCATTGGGACCAGAGTGGCTGCAGATTAGAGGGATGACAAGTTGGGGAGGGGGTAGCTTCTTAGCAGTGGCTATCCCTAGCCAGCCCCTTCTCTCATGGCAGCGAGAGGCTGCGTCCCCACATGCTTTCCGAGTGCGGGTGACAAGATGACATCAGTGGGGACCGGCGTTGCATGTCAGCGCGTTGCACATCAGCCCTGCCAGCTGTCCTTGGGTACGAGCAGAGCGTGCCTCCGGGCTGGGAGAAGTCCAGTGTGTGTGTGCGTGCCTCTTGCTGTGTGCATTTGCTATTGTTCCCGTGGATCTGTGTCCCTCTGCGGTGACTCTGCAGCTGTCCTTGTGTGAGCGTGTGCGTGTTGCGGCCAGCGAGCC